CTGAACATTCCTATTTCTAAGATTTAGAGGCCCCCTGGAGGGCAAAGCAGTAGCCATAATTCAATGGTATATTAAAGCATCACAAAGTCATAGTTACACAAACCCAGGTTTGGCAAAAAAACACTTGGTTTGGTCCAACTTACATAATGGCAACCTTGGTAGGTGCTTTCTAAAGCTTAGGAGACCTGGCCCATATAGAAACTGAATAAAGTTTGCCTGTTAAGAAATTGCAATGAGACTTCCTGTAGTGGCTTTTTGTTCCTGAGGAAGGACCAGAAGTCCGAAACACTGAACAATACCTAGGAAAAGTGTTGATATCTATTCCAGACTTCATTGTTTCCCTTGGAGAAATTTCTATTCTGGACTTTGTTCTTTCCCTTTGGGATATTATGGAGTTTTGTATTTTCCTATGATGGATTACATGTATTGAATTACCTTTGTGTTGAAGTCTCTTTTTGTTAACTTTGGTGCGGGTTTGTGCAGTACACAGTTGTTATTTGCTGTTTTTTTGGCCATATTAAGGGAGTTGAGCTTAACCATGGCTTCATGTGATTTCTGCGCTGAACCCATTGTGATTTAAGTCCATGACCACGTCCGTGTTAATAATCCGTGGCCTTCCTCCATAGAAAAATGAAGCGCTACTCTTTAGCACTTGCTAACTTATAATACGAATTCCTCAAACAACGTCTCTCAGAATCCCTTACTCCCAACACAGTTCCCATTTTCAGTGACCCTCAGCGGTAGTAAAGGTGTTGTCTTACACCTCCTGGAATAGATTATTGTACCCACTGTACTTCTAAAGCATGAATAATGGAAACACTGATATAAAATCTTTTAAAATTATTAATATTTTTGAGGGGAGAAAGTCTTCCCAGTAAATTAGTGGTCGTTAAATCATTTGCAAATTTATAATCTTTAGTGGAAAAGAAATCTCTGTCACCCCCCAAGGAGTGGATTTTTGATATATAAAAGTGCCACAAACATTGAAAGCCTTTTGTTTAAAATCCACATGAAAAGCTTGGAATGCAGAAAATTCATTCGTATGCAACACAATGACATTTGTACAACCATTCCACATCCAAGAACTTTGGTCTGTCTACTTTCCGTTTGCAGCACTGAACATTCGTTCCTAAAAGGAGAAAAAAAGATAACTTAATAGCCAGACTTTAACCAAACGCATCTAAAAACCAATAGGCCATAATCTAATCCAGTACATCACTTACTGAAATACTTGCAGAAACACTAAGGGTAATTGACATTATTTCTATTTCAAATGGGCAAGCATATATAGCAAGCCGTGTCAAATCCGGGGAAGAAAGTTCAACACTGCCACCTTTCAAATCCTAATATTCAAGGGCAGCTTTTAAGGACTTGAGTGATAAAGTCTCAAACCAGAAAAAACCTATTAAGCCCAGAGTTGCCATTTAACAGACCTACCAGACAGATCATTCAATGTTCCCTCTAAGCTGTGGAGTCTTGTGAGCAAGCTGTGGAGTCTTGTGAGCAAAAATTCTACTTTGTGAGTGACTGGCATTACAGTTGTGAGCGAGCGATTTGGCTGCTGCATAAATTCGTTTGCTCTGGAGCCCTCCTTCCTGAGCCAAGGCAAAAATGTGTGAGCTGGAGGCTAAAAAACTGTGAGCGAGCTCACACTAACTCAGCTTAGAGGGAACACTGATCATGATGTAAAGTACATGTATACTCAAGAAAAACAACCAGTTTCTGTAGTTATTTCGACTTTAATAAAGTTTAGTTGTTCATAGCTTTTAAGGTCTAGGTGGAAAAAACGTGGGTGTGAGATAGCACTGGTACACAAAGGTCGATATTGTCACCTCTGACGGGCAGCAGCTCACCAGGGGTCATTCACATCACCTACCACCTGACCCTTCTAAGAGCAGATGCTGAGGACTGAGCCCGGGACCTTCTGCATGTTAAGAAGATGCTCTACAGAAAATGTTCATTCAAAAAAGAAAGAAGAGATGCTCTACCACGGAGCCCTGGCCCTACACCCAATGCCAACAACGCTCTCAAAAACCTGAGAACTAGCCTTGTACCTAGATTAAAAACCTCTTGATTTTACCTTTATCATCCGTTCCAATTTAACGGCATCGGCGGCAAACTTTCTGATCCCATCAGACAGTTTCTCCACAGCCATTTGGTCTTCATTGTGAAGCCAGCGGAATGCTTTCTCGTCTAGATGGATCTTCTCCAAGTCAGACGCCTGGGCTGCATCGAGAGAGACATCAAATTATGGAATCTTCAGAAACATTACAAGCAAAGCTGTTTAAACAGCTCAGTGAATGCCCATCTCAAGACTGGTGGAGGTGGACAGTGCCGTCAAGTCACAGCTGACTTATAGTGACCCCTGTAGGGTTTTCACGATGAGACACGTTCAGATGTGAAGAAGAACAGATTGGATTCCTACCCCATGGCCCTTCACTCCCCAAGGGAGTCTCAGAGTGGCTTACAAACTCCTTGCCCTTCCCCTCCCCACAACAGGCACCCTGTGAGGTAGGCGGGGCTGAGAGAGCTCTTGACAGAAACTGCTCTTTTTCAAAGACAGCTCTTATCAGAACTATGGCTTGCCCAAGGACATCCAGCCAAGTACAAGTGGAGGAGAAGAAGAGGAGATTGGATTTATCCCCCGCCCTTCACTACCCAAGGGAGTCTCAGAGTGGCTTACAAACTCCTTGCCCTTCCCCTCCCCACAACAGGCACCCTGTGAGGTAGGCGGGGCTGAGAGAGCTCTTGACAGAAACTGCTCTTTTTCAAAGACAGCTCTTATCAGAACTATGGCTTGCCCAAGGACATCCAGCCAAGTACAAGTGGAGGAGAAGAAGAGGAGATTGGATTTATCCCCCGCCCTTCACTACCCAAGGGAGTCTCAGAGTGGCTTACAAACTCCTTGCCCTTCCCCTCCCCACAACAGGCACCCTGTGAGGTAGGCGGGGCTGAGAGAGCTCTTGACAGAAACTGCTCTTTTTCAAAGACAGCTCTTGTCAGAACTACGGCTTGCCCAAGGTCATCCCGCAGCTGCAAGTGGAGGAGGGGGGAATCAAGCCCGGTTCTCCCAGATTAGAGTCCGCGCACTTAACCACGACACCGAACTGGTTTGCCACTGCCTGCCCCCGCCTCCCGACTGCTGGTATTCCTTGGAGGTCTCCCATCCAAATACTAGCCAGGGCCATCCCCGCTTAGCTTCTGGAATCTGGTGAGATGGGGCTAGGCTGGAATTGCCCCCTCCAAAATCCAAAGGGCTGACGTCATTTCTGCAGCTCAAGATGGGCAGCGGTGTTAGTCTGCCTGCAGCAGTAGAAAAGACCAAGAGTCCAGCAGCACCTTAAAGACTAACGGAATTTGTGGCAGGGAAGGAGCTTTCATGAGTCACGGCTCACTTCTTCATGCATTTAAGTATTTATGCCCCACTTTTCTCCTTAAAGTGGCTTGCAACGTCATTTACACCCTGTGGCATTTTATCCTCACAACTACCACCCTGTGAGGTGAGGTAAGGGTGAGAGAAAGTGACTGGCCCGAAGTCAGCTGTCCAGCAGGTCATACATAGCAGGTATTTATTCTCAACTGCCAACCTAGCAGTTCGAAAGCAAGAAATGGCAAGTAGATAAATAGGTTCATGGGGTCGTGAAGAGCCAGACTCGACTGTGCGGCTGAACAACAACAAGAAGAAGAAGACTGTAACACCACACGATGCATCAGTGGAGAAGAAAGCTTACCTTCTTTAACAGTGAGCACTGGAGTTAGCTTGCTGGTATCTTTACTGAGCTCTCCCAGAAGCTTGGGGGAAATGGTGAGATAGTCACAGCCGGTCAGCGCTTTGATTTCCCCAGTGTTTCGAAACGAAGCTCCCATCACAATGGTTTTGTAGCCAAATTTTTTGTAGTAGTTGTAGATTTTAGTGACACTTTTCACTCCTGTGAAAACAGTGAATGTGAAACGCAACGTTGTCGCGCCACTTTTCAAGAAACTGACTCCCCAAAGACACAGAGGCGGATGAACTGGAGGAATTACCTGGGTCCTCAGATGGCTCATAAGCTTTTTTGTCTGTATTTGCAACGTGCCAATCCAGGATACGCCCAACAAAAGGGGAAATGAGTGTAACACCTGCCTCTGCACAGGCAACGGCTTGAGCAAAGGAAAATAGTAATGTCAGGTTGCAATGGATCCCATATTGTTCTTCGAGAACCCTGTGAAGTGAGTTACCGATGCAGAATTACTTTCCGTACCACCAGCACTCATGCTAATAAAACAACTACAGAATTTTTGTATAAAATTATCTTCTAAATCATATCACTAAGTTCTGAAAAATAATAGTTAGGAAGCTTTATCTAGTATTTGTCCCACTTAAAGACTGAAAATGACGCTGACTACATCAGAAAACGTTACAGGGGTTCCCAATCAAGACAGGTAGCAGAGGTATGTGATATCAAATAGCTATTTTACATCAATACACCGGGTATAAACTTACTTGGCAGCCTGGATACCCTCCCATGTTGAAGATAGTTTGATGAGGATGCGGTCTTTACCAATTCCCACGTCCTTATAAAGATCTATGAAGTGTCTAGCCTTCTTAACCATGCCTTCCTTGTCAAATGACAACCTTTGGAATAAAGGGATTTTTTTAAATTAAAAAAAAAAAGGTTACAAGCATTCATCATGGTGCCTTAAATATAGATCACTCGTTTTACTGTTGTCCGCCCCTCAAAAAAGGAGATGAGATCATGCTCATCTGCAGAGGAATACTGGTCTCGGTGACAAGCACCAACCCTATAGTAAGAACGTTAACAGGCATCACTGCGATTTAGCATCTTCTGAGATTTGCTCTATTCAGTTACACACTTCAGCCAAACGCCACTTAGGTCAGCAACCCAGGGAATCAGAAGACTGCTTCTTTACCTTTTATCAACACAGATGTGCTCATTTCCCCAATGCATCACACATGAAGATTATATACACAGCCTGTTCTATATGTATAGGGAATGCACTGCCCAACATATGTACTCATGAAAAGTTCTTGTACCCTTACTCCCAGTTCTATACAGTCTTTATCTAGGTAACTGCAATTGAAAAATGAAGTCAGAAAAGACACACCTTGCATCTACCTCTGTGGACACACGGCCAGGTATTCTTTTCAATATTTCTGCGCCAAACAATATAAAAAGCTTGTCGCAAGCCTTTGTAACTTGATCATCTTCTGACCTGGAAATATGAGAGAAAATAAAAATCTAGAAAGGGACGGAGTAAAGAAGAGGACCATGTGGTAGTTATGTAGGACAAGTCTGCGGCAACTAGCTTCAGTACTTTATACTATGGACTGCTCTTGGTCTTCATCTTCATAGCCAAATGCCTTCCCTTGAAGATACTGAAGGCTGGAACCATGACAGTAAACTACAGCACAGCAGGGATTGAAGGAAACAAAGGCCAGTAATATAACCAAAACTTTGCAACGAACAGTTTAAGCTTTAACAGGGCTTACTCACCCACCAAGTCCTTTTCCATATGCAATAGCATCTTCCACTAACTGCTGGTAAGATGGCATCTGGGCAGCAGCCAGTATCAGGGAAGGATTGGTAGTGGCATCCAAAGGCTGATATTCCTCAATGGCTATGGAAATGAAAAGCAGCCATCACGATTTATCCATTTAATCTAGGAACTCCTGTGTCTGTACAAACCCAGTGTCAACCCAGTGTGCCACAGCAGTGAAAAGGGCAAACTCTACGCTGGGGATTATTAAGAAAGGGATGAAAAATAAAGCAGACACATTACAATGCCCCTGCATAGATTTATGGTATGACCTCATTTAGAATATGGTGTGCAGTTCTGTATCTCAAAAGACACAGCACCCCCTGGAGGCTTTTGGCTGTAAAGACCTACCTGATGGCAGGCCTGCTCATGCGCAGTCCCCATGTGTGCCTGCACAGAAGATCGATGATGAACAGTAGCTACAGAAGTTTTATTATATATTATGCTGGGCAAACCAGGAACGAAGGCAGGCATACCTGGGAGAAGTATAATGTGAGATACAATCCTGACAGTTGAGAGAAAGGGGGAGGGGGGAGAGGGCTAAAGCTGCTGGTGAGAAAAGCTTCAAGTGAAAAAACCTCAAAGGAATTGTGGAGGGGGAAATACTCAGCATAATACTAGGAGCATCATAATATGCTTATTATGTACTACAAGTATTTCCTCAATGTATACGCCAGTTTGGTGTAGTAGTTAAGTGTGCGGACTCTAATCTGGGAGAACCGGGTTTGATTCCCCACTCCTCCACTTGCACCTGCTGATGTGACCTTGGGTCAGTCACAAGCTCTGGCACAGCTGTCCTTGAAAAAGAGCAGTTTGTGTCAGAGTTCTCTCAGCCCCACCCACCTCACAGGGTGTCTGTTGTGGGGAGGGGAAGGGAAAGGAGTTTGTAAGCCGCTCTGAGACTCCAAGTGAAGGGCGGGGTATAAATCCAATCTCCTCCTCCTCCTCCTAACCAGTGGATCAGGACCCAAAAGTGGGTTGTGAAGCCTCTTGAAAGGGGGGTCACAGGCCAGCCCTCCCTAATAGAAACTCTTGCCCTTTACATCCTTCTCATTCTTTTCTCCTCGCCAACTTCTCCCCCTCCCTCTTTGTGACAATAATAAAGATGTGAAAGCCTGGAAAAAAACAGAAAAATTTGGGAGGAAAGTGTTTTCCCCCCATTTTCCCCCTGAAGCCTTTTTTGTTTTTTCCCGTAAAATTATGGAACATTTTATTTTAACATGATGAATAAAATATTTTAAGACAAGGTGTTCAAATATTTTCCAAATAATTTCAGATTGATCTAATTTCTGTGCACTGAGGACAAGCAAGCTGTAGGTTACAAACTGAACTCTCCAATGCAAGATGCATTTCTTCCTTTAGGAGGTGCTATTGTCAGAAGAAAATAAAAAGGTTTCAGTTTTGTTTTTGCATGTGGGTGGGTATTCTGTTTGTAATAATTGTTTGGATACACTGTATTTTTAATATGCTAGTTGTGATAATTTCATGCCAAGTAAAAATGTCCATAGTCATATTTTATGTTCCTAAAGTAACAGAATGACTTTCAATCTGGAAAAGAAAAAAGAAGTGCTAATGTAGCATTTTTTTTCAATTTTCCCGAAAATTTCAATTTAAAAAAAAAACAACGGGTTTTTTCCCCCGAGCTTCAAAATTTCCAGAAATTTTACATCTCTAGACAATAATGGGGGAGGGGGGGAGAGAACAGTTCAGCAACTAGTAATTTCGTGGTAGTGGTTGAAAGAAGGGGGGGTGGGAAAAGTTGGAGAGTAGATGGGAGCCGTCCAGCATGCTACAAAAAAAGAGAAATAGGCATGTGCATGCACAGGCTCTGTCTTGGTGTGGCTCCTTCAGCTGCCCAACTTCTTGCCCCGCCCCCTGCGGTGCCTCATTGCCCTCTGCCTGCTGTGAGATGTACTGTGCTGAGCGCCCCTTGCCACCCAGCTCCACCACCATCTGCCATCTTCACATATCTCCTCAACCCAGTGCCCTCTGAGCACATGTCCTTGAACTCCCGCTCTGGTCCAGCTGGTAAAGGGAGGAGGAGAGGAATTCCCACTTGCTTGGGGTTCCTAGCGAGGGCAGCTGCACCCTTTGCTGGATGCTTGCAGGTGTCTCCAAAAACACCTGGCGGGGCACTACAGAAGATGGAATGCTAGAACTGATGACGGTCAAGGTCACAGTTTGCCCGTGGCACCAAAAAACCTTGGAAACTACTGCTATAAAGGAGGAAGGGAGAGGTCCTTTAAACAGGTGTGACCTGTTTAAAACGTAACGCACCCTCTTAGATTAAGTATCAAAAGTAGTTACTCATAGCAAGTTGAGTAAATAGAACCCTACCCATTATTCATGCCTCTTTGTCTAATATTGCGAACCCTACCCATTATTCATGCCTCTTTGTAACTGTCTAATATTGTTTTAAACAACAGCTATGCAGGAAATCACTGGGCTTATATAGAGTAATCCCAATGTGGATTTCTAAAAAGCTAGACAATTTTCAAAACTGTATAGGCCCTAATGCTTACTTCCTTTACAGAAACCTGTGTGATGTGATCCTAACAGTGTACTGTTTTTAAAATATAATAATTGTCTTGTTGGATCAGACTAAAATCCACTTAGCCTACCATTGTGTCTCCTGCAATGGCCATGCAGAAGCCTCCAGAAGTATACAAGCAGGGTATGGCGATGAGAGTTAACCTTTGCTTGTCTCCAGTATCTTAGGTATAACTGCCCCCTGAATACGGAGCTGTCATGTTTTGGCTATTATGGCTAAAAGGAATACAGAAAATCTTCCTTTTAAAAGTCATTATAGGATCACAGCAGACATTTTCTTTGCCACAAGTCTCGTTGGCTTTCTACATGTTTAAAATGGAAGGTAGTGTGGGAACTGCAGCTCTGTCCAGCCAGCAAAATATCCTTTCTCCTAGCTAAAGTATGTTACACCAGGTACTAAAGTGGACAACAAGCTAGTGAAGCTTTGCAAGAATACCAGTTCCTAGTAGGTACTAGGAAGCCCACCAGAAATTGGTCAATGGTCCACCAGTGGATTGCAGTTTACCATCTGCCCAACCATATCAAGAGAACGGTATACAAAGGAACTACCCATAGATTCCATGAATACCCAAGTTCAAGATTTTACTGTCATACTTTCTAACATTATGGATCAGCTACCGAACCATGCAAATTTCAAGTACAGAGAATCATGGATGATACTCTCACGTTCTGCAATAAAACTCCCAGGCTATGTAAGCCACAACTGACTGGGGACCAGGTTAACAGTTTGATATACGGTATATATTTAACTCAGAACAGAAGCAGGCAACCTATGGTCGGAGGAACTTTAGAGATCAGTGAACTTTAGCCTAGGCAGCTACACAAAGTTTAAAAACGATGGCGAAGATTAAGGTGGACAACAAGCTAGTGAAGCTTTGCAAGAATACCAGCATCTAGTACTAGGTACTCGGAAGCCCACCAGAAATTGGTCAATGATCCACCAGTGGATTGCAGCTTACCATCTGCCCAACCATATCATGGGAACGGTATACAAAGGAACCACCCATAGATTCCATGAATACCCAAGTTCAAGATTTTACTGTCATACTTTCTAACATTATGGATCAGCTACCGAACCATGCAAATTTCAAGTACAGAGAATCATGGATGATACTCTCACGTTCTGCAATAAAACTCCCAGGCTATGTAAGCCACGACTGACTGGGGACCAGGTTAACAGTTTGCTATATATATTTAACTCAGAACAGAAGCAGGCAACCTATGGTCGGAGGAACTTTAGAGATCAGTGAACTTTAGCCTAGGTGGCTACACAAAGTTTAAAAACGATGGCAGTGTTACAAACAATGGCTAAGATTAAGGGGGGAAATTCTATGTATCCTAAATAAACATTCACATTTCATGATGGAAGGGCTACTTCATGATCATTAAGTTGCAGTCCCCCACAGTTGTCTAAACATTTCCTTTGGAGAGCAGCTACCTCTGTAAAGCTTGTTTCTACAATTAAATAGCCATGGGCACTATGTGTGTCCTTGTAGGTGCACTACATGACAGCTATCGGAGTCTTGGCAAGGGGCCTCCACCATTCAGATTTTAGTACCATGATGATGAGTTAATGCTTGGTCAGAAACCTATCAGCTCCTATACAGCAATTGACACTTTAGCCATGTAAGAGTCATAATGGACAGCACTTGCTCCTCCGTCATAGGTAAAGGTAAAGGTTTCCCTTGCTCAAAAGCCAGTCGAATCCAACTCTAAGGTTGCGGTGCTCATCTCCGTTTCCAAGCTGAAGAGCCAGCGCTGTCCGAAGACGTTTCCGTGGTCATGTGGCTGGCATGACTAGACGCCGAAGCGCATGGAACGCTGTTACCTTCCCACTGAACCGGTACCTATTTATCTACTTGCAATTTCTTGCCTTCCAACGGCTAGGTTGGCAGGAGCTGGAACCAGAGACGGGAGCTCACTCTGTCTTGCGGCACTGGTTCTGGAACTGCTGAAATACCGACCTCCCAGCCTACAGTTCAGTGTCTCAACCACTGAGCCATAGCCCATCACAAAAAGCAGAAACTATTCATAAGACAAAACAATGTCTTACTCCCCCCCCCTCCCAGCAGCCCAGTTCAGGGTGGTGTGGTGGTTAGAATGTCACAACAGAATCTGGAAAACCCAGGTTCAAATTCCTGTTCAACTATGGAAGCTTGCTGGGTGACCTTGGGCCAATCACACACTCACAAAAACCTTGTGAGGTAGATTAGGCTGAGATGATAAAATGGAGAAGAGAAGAATGACTGAGGTAAGCCACTTTACGCCTTTATTCCCCACACACACCTTGTGCGATGGATAGCTTCTCTGTGAATGCCTCCTCTACTACAGTCAATACACAACTTCTGCAACAAATATACTGTGGGATGCATTTTGCAAGGCTATCTCGAGCAAAATATGATTGAAATGTGTCCTGTGAGAATGCAGACTCCCAACAAATATGAAACAATTTTGAAAACAACAAGTTGCAAACTAGAAAGATGTACCTCATATGTTAAAGCTGCAGGTGGGAGTAAAATTAAATGGCTTGT